AAAAAAAAAAAAAAAAAAAAAAAAAGAATTGGGATGTGAAAGGAAGTGAAAATTTAGAAACAGTGTATGGAAAATGAGGCTAATCTACCTGAAATTCAGCCATTCTATCTTTGAACTTCTTTTTCAGAGCTCTGCATTCAAAATTTCAAACACAAGAAAATAAAAAAAAAAAAAAGGAAAAAGAAAAAAAAAAGATATCATGTTCTTTTTTCATTACATGCAATCAACGGCTTTGGGATAATAATGTAAACTGGAATAACACACCGGTAATTATAAAATGAAAGTAGCTATTAAAAAGAAAAGGGGCAGTAAATTACACTGTTGTTGATGTTCTTGATCTGTCTACGCCTGATCCTTTTCCGCACCCAGGTTTTTGTCTATTGGCTAAACTCTAGAACCATTAAAAGACAAATATCAGTAAGAAGAACTTTGTGAAGTCGAATCACAATTGAGAAAAGCTACATATTCCCGTACCTCTTTGTCGAGTTCCTCAATTTTTGATTTAATAAAACGAGCAATTTTCCCAACTTCGTCAACATCCTTCTCCATCCGTTTCTTGATTGCTACCGTGTTACAAGATTAAAAGAAAAAAGTTATAATAACCGGAAATCCATGTATGAACTAAGAAGAAAAACAAAAAGGTGAATGCATAAGCGAAGAAAGATGTGAAATCTAATACAAAATCGCCTTAGGCAAGTTTATGAATATTGCCTCAAGGACTGAGTTTCTTTCTCAATGGACAAATACCAACAAAATGGAAATAAAAATCTACCTTTCATATTAGCAGCTTTCGTCACAGCTTTTGATTCCTCGTGAGCATCCTGTAGTTGAAAGATGATAAACATTATAGACAAATTACCCAACGGACATTAACCCTTTTGCTTGAACAGTAACATAGATATGACTGTATGTATTACTATTGTGTAAAAATTGCAGTCCCTAACTAAATAGTATTGTTATAGAGCTTCATAAACAATGAAGAACCAGAACACCAATAAGAATTTTGTGAAATCATGTTGATTCATAAAAATATTAGCTCAGAAAGAGAAGCTTATAAAAAACATTTTTCACGAAGTACGTGAAGTTGGAGATTCTAAAATAAACGGGATTTATATTTAATTAACACAATAAGGAAAACTGGAAATTACATAATGCAGTATGTATGCTTTTTAAAGAAGTGGGAGATTACAGTACAAAAATATAAATAAATAATAAATATACAAGTTAAAGAAAAAAATTCCAATGCCAACAACCCTGCTTCTCCACAAGGAGTTCATCAATCTGTTTTATTCCATAGAACTCAGAGTCTCATACAAACACAAACAGGTTACGGAATGACAAATTCATGCATACTCATGATCTACACGCATACCAATGTGAAGAATGAAAACAAACGAAAAGAGCAGAGAAAGGATGAAAGCACAAACCTGGAGCTTTCTCAGTAGGATATTAAGTTTTTCATATTGCTTCTCAATCTCCTGAACCTAGAAAAAACAGAAGGCTAGTCAGGCATTATTCGTCATCTTTTTATCACTGAACGAAATAAATGTCCAATATAATAACTCTTTTCAAGATATGAGGGGGAATGTAATGCTAGCCACCTTCTTAAAGAAATTCTCCAAGCCAAGATCTTCTGAATTCGTTTGCCTCTCCATTCCCATTTCAATATCACCATTTCTATTAACTTCATCACGTGGGTACACGAAGGAATCCTGCACATTAGACAGGATGTTGAGAAACAAAACAGTAGAGCATTTCTAGTAAATAAGCATACAGCATAAACGAAAACTGTAGACATGCCAACAGCTCATGATAAAGTGATTCCCTTACAATACAGATGCTTGAACAGAGATTACAAAACTTTATCACAAGAGATTATGTGTGTACAAGTAATCATGTACAAGAGCTTGAGCACGAACAGCACTTTGGGAAGCCAACTAAAAGTACTGGAGATTAAGCATTGTAAGGATAGACTTCGTTGCAACAAATTGTTGTAATCTTCAATATTTGGATAGCACAAAAGACGTTTACCAATGGTTGAATGATAACAGATTTAATGAGGCATGGGCACTGGAAGGGTTTGTAAATGTTCGAAATTTATATGCCGGCAAGCTTAGCAGTTTTTCCTCTTATTCAGCAAGCTGTTCCTTGTCTTTCTCAACCAATCAACCATCCAATTACTCTAGATTCAGCAAGCAATATGCGTTAAAATGGCAAAGTCCTATTGGTTCTAGTAAGTTGAACATTTGATGTTCTAGAAGCCTGCTGAAAAAGGCTTAATCTTGATGCTGAAGATGGGCATGAACTAAGGGAAACAAACGCATTTTTCTTTTCCAATGAATAGTAGATTTCAAATGAACATGGTTCTAAACTATAACAACTCTGACACTTCAAGACCTCATAGTTTCGCTTGGATACCAATAAAGAATCTAATTGAAAATCATGTCAGAGCCGACTCTCTATATTTTTTTAATCAACGAATATCATTGGGTTTCAAAATTCAAAGCCTTGACTCAATGATGTTACAATATACGCAATCAACTTTCCAACTTTGAGGACAAACTCACCCGCCGAGAGTAGACATATGCCAAAATATAAGCAAAATCATAAAGATATGCCAACAATCTAATTGTTGGCTTCGTTCTGTACAAATCCAAAATACCAAGATCCGGAGCAACTCTAAAACATGATTAAAACTACAATAACAA